AGGCTGCTGCTGCCACCCCCCCAACCCCAGCCCCCCGTGGCGCTCACCCAGAGCCTCTCCCAGCGTGATCTTGCCGAAGTAGAGGACCATGAAGGTGAGGAAGACGGCCACCATGTAGAAGATGACGTCCCTGAGGAAGGGTCTGGAGGCGGCTGTGAAGGGCTTGACCAGGGCGATGCCCCCGGCCACCACCGTTGTCACGAACACGCCGGCACCTGCCAACGCAACGGGTCCCTCTCAGGGGGAACCGCCCACGGCCCCACAACATCCCCCCTCCTCATCGTCCTCCCCCAAGCTGGCAGCCCCCAGTGGAGGTCTCGTTACCAAAGACGGCCCCGATGGCCAGCCCCGCCGTCCGTGGGTCAGAGAAGGCCACCACAGCGCTGAAGACATCCGGCGCCCCATTGCCAAAGGCCAAGAAGGTGACACCATGGAGAGGGAATGTCAAGGAAAAGACCTGGTGGCCTCATCCCTGCTGTGACACAGGGCACCTGCCCTCTCCGGTGCCACAAGACTCCCTCCCGGTGCCGGCACACCGTCACTCACCACACCACCGTCTCCAGCTCATGCTCCAAATCGTTTTCCCCTGGCACGGTGCCAAGGGTTTGCAGAAGTGTCACCATCATGCCACCTCCCCTGCTCCATCCCTGCGTTCCGCCTCCCTGGGATGAAGGATCATCCCCCGTGACCCGCCAAGGATACTGCCACATTGTGAGACAGCTTCAGGTTGGTGGAGATGGCCGATAAGTTGGGGCAGAAGCTGGAAGAGCAGAGGAGGAGATGGAGAAGGGAGATGGGGCTGTTCCAGGACCACAGGGCTCTGTGCTCACGCCGGGGATCATCTCCTCCTCCACGGGGCTACTCACAACTTCTCCGCCGTCACACCAAGGATGATGAACAGGTACAGGAGCCAGAGAGCCTGGGGATCAGAGAGAGGGGTTGGTGGGGTCTCCATCCCACACCCCTAAAGCTGAGCATCCCGCAGCAGCACCATCCCTGCTCCTGTCCTTACATAGAGGGGGACGGCCAGGGGGAGCAGCCGGGGGGGGAAGACGCAGAAGACCCCATCGAGGGCCGCCATCCAGCCGGCAGTCGGGGTTGCTCCGGACGAAGCGGCACCACTCGGAGCTGTTGCGTTTCCGCACCTCCCAGCACTGTGGGGCAGAGTGTGGGGTGCTTGACTGGGCACCATATAAATCCTGTCCCCACCCTGAGCGCCCACCACCCTCCAACAAGGGCTGCCATCAAGAGCTGCTGGAACTCGGAAAGTGTTTTCTGATGGGTGAAACTGCAAGACATCCGTCATCCCTGCCTCAGTTTCCCCATCTGTGCTAGGTGTGCGTGGGACACGGGCTGTGCCATGGCCAGCACAGCTGCCAGCTCTTGTCTCCATCCCTAGTCCCCATCCCTATCCCTGTCCCTGTCCCCAGCAGTGTGGGGCCCCGTGCCGCCCCCCACCCATCCCAGGCCTGGCATCAAGCGGTGAGGTTTTCGGAGGAGAAAACCAGCAGCGGAGGAAACCCTGGTGAGATCCCAGCTGCGATCACTGGGGTGGGGG